TCTTCAGTAAATGGTGTTGGGAAAACTGGACAGATACATGCAAAAAAAAAAAAAATCTAGACTACTTTCTTTCAACAGATACAAAAATAAACTCAAAATGGATTAAAGACTTAAATATAAGACCCAAAACCATAAAACCCCTAAAAAGAAAACATAATCAATGTCTTATAGTTTTCAGAGTGCAAACTCTTTGATATTAGTTTTAGCAATATTTTTTGGCTGTATCTCCTTAAGCAAAGGCAACAAAATAAAAAATAAACAAATGGGACTACATCAAACTAAAAAGATTTTGCACACTGAAGGAAACCATTAATAAGACAAAAAGATATTTGCAAATGATATCTAATCAGAGGTTAATATCTATAAGATATAAAGAACTAATATAAAAAATAATAAAGAACTCATACAACTCAACATCAAAAAATAATCCCATTGCCCTAGCTGGTTTGGCTCATAGAACTCAGCCTGTGGAATGAAGAGTCCTGGGTTTGATTCCCAGTCAGGCCACATGCATAGGTTGCAGACTCAATCCCCAGTGTGGGGTGTGCAGGTGGCAGTCATAGTCAATGATTCTCTCTCATCACTGATGCTTCTCTCTCTCTCTCCCTTCCTTTCTGAATTTAATAAAAAATAATAAAAATTAAAAAAAATAACCCCATTAACAAATAGGCAGAAGAGCTGAATAGACATTTCTCCAAAGAAGACATACAGATGGCCAACAGACAAATGAAAAGATGCTCAACATTACTAATCATCAGAAAAATGCAAATCCAAACCACAATGAGATATTATCTCACAATAGTCAAATGAGCACTTTTCTCACAATAAATAATAAGCATTGGCAAGGAAGTAAAGAAAAATGAACCCTCATGCACTTTTGGTGGGATTATAAACTAGTGTAGCCACTACAGGAAACAGTATGGTGATTCTTCAAAAAATAAAAAATAGAACTACCATATGAAGCAAGAATTTCATTTCTGGGTATTCATCTGAAAAAATATACATACACACAAAAAATAATTTGAAAAGACATATGCTCTCCTATGTTCATCTAAGCATTGCTTGCAATGGCCAAGTTATGTATGTATAAATATACATATATATGTCTGTATGTGCATATATATGTGTGTGTGTGTGTGTGTGTGTGTATACATAGAGTTGTGAGATTTCATGACTATACAGTCTTTTACTACTAATTCAATCATTTATCCTATATAATAAAAGGCTAATATGCAAATTGACCAAATGGCAGAATGACTGGTTGCTGTTTTGCACACTGACCACCAGGGGCAGACACTCAACTCAGGAGCTGCCTCCTGGTGGTCAGTGAGTTTCCACAGGGGGAGTATCCCTCAGCCAGAAGTTGGGTTGGGGTGGCAGCACTAAGGACCCTTTGGGGGATGTCCACTTGCTGGCTTAGGCCCACTCCGTTGCAAAAGAGTGCAGGCTGGGCTGAGAGAGATTCCCCCCCCCCCCACTTCCCCAGTGCATGAATGCCATGCATTGGGCCTCTAGTCTACTTATAATAAATTTCTTTAGATATTTGAATCTTTTTCTGGTATCTGTTCTGTTCCACTGATCTATCTGTCTCTTTTTGAGCAATTTTTGAGATTTTATTTCTGTGGTTATATACTATTTATAGAATAAATGTTCTTTCATTTTAATTCATTTTTATATTTTCTATTTTTGCATATTTACTTGATGATCTTAAAAATAATTTGGCCAAGTAACAAAAGCCCTGTTAGGCTTTTCAACCAAGTTGTATAATCTTTTTAGATTAATTGAGGAGAAATTAGCACTTTTTATAATACTGGGTTTTCTTATTTTAAAAAAGTCCCTCTCCTCCTTTCCCCCATCTCCTCCTCTCCCCCAGATTCAATCATTCTATCAGATTTTTTGGTAGCATTTTCTATTTGCTTATTTAGGCCATGGCCATTATGATGTGAATGGAATGATTTCCTTCTCTAATATTTGTAAGTTGTTAGTTAGAAAAACTACTGACTTTATTTCCAGATAATTTAATGAGCACTTTTCTCTCTCTAATCCTCTTTTGGTTGATTTTAGCTTTCAAAACTCTCCTCAAGTGGTACCCAGGAAGCAAATGAAGTAAATATAACTTCCTTCCTGTAGGGCATAACCTGAGACCACTAGAGTGTGGGGCATAAAATAGGAGAGTTTATAGAATATAATTTGTACATTTAGGAAAGCCAAACCTGGGCCAATTCACATCATTGAAATAATATGCCAGACTAAACATATTGGAATGAATAAGTTTGCTGTCCTTGTTAGGTTATTTAGTATTCTTAGATGTCTTTGGTACTCAAATAATCTCTCGGAATTAATCTCTGTGAATTCTGTATAATTTATGTGACTGCAGAAAGGCTGGATTTAATTAAATCTGTAGATACTGGTTCCTGTTTTGAGTAAGTGGAGGATGGAAAGGGAAAACTAGTTACCAGGTTGTGATTTCTGGGCTTGCTCTTTTTTTTTTTTTTTTTTTTTTTGTATAACCTCACAAATGAAATCTAACTTATTTTCTCCTTGTGCTTAATCATACTTCCTCTTTCTAAAATGCGCCTATTGGTGCTCTAATTTACCACCATCCTAATCCCCTATAGACGGTCTGGTCGGACAATGCCATCTTGTGGCTACCTGGAGAACTGTATAAATTAATCTGGTGAACCTCCAGTGGGGATTGGTATCCCAGAAGCCAGATCCAGGTTTGGGAACAAGCAGTTTATGCCTGAAGCAACAGGCAAAGCGAGAAGATAACACGAGTCTAAGTCCTGGCAAAGGCTACCTGCGGAAGCTGGGAAATAAGGAAGGAGCCAGAAAGACTGTGTTCCCAGCAGCTGATAGGCAGTGAGGACCAGGTCCAAAGAGAGACATCTGCAAAGGATTTCCCACTGGGGAGAGAGAGAGAGAGAGAGAGAGAGAGAGAGAGAGAGAGAGGGGGGGGGGGGGGGGGGGGAGCGCGAGCGCGCTCCAGAACCAAAGCAAAGAAAGGGAACCTTTTATTTTTTCCTTCTCTCCTTTAATGGATTATCTGCATTCAGTTTTTGGGCAGAGATCAGCTTAATTGTGGATTTCCAGTCATTTCTAACACCTTTCTTTACTCTTTTTAAAAAATTACTGTTTTTCCTTATTTACTCTTTTTAAAAAATTACTGTTTTCTTAAAAATATCTCCATTGTTTAAAACTCAGGTAATATCAGATAATTCCATAGGAGGCACAGTCTACTTCACATCTTCCTTCTCTTTCTCTCTCTTTTCCCTCCCCCACCTCCCTGCTACTCCCTTTTTCCTTTCCCCTTCCTTTTCAGCTCCTATTCTTGCACTTCAGGAAAACCTCTCCCTTTCCCATCATTCCATTTGAGAGGCAAAACATAACCTTAATTACAGATGATAAACCTAGGGATGATGCGTGTGGGTCAGCTTTACCAAGGAAACGGGAAGGCAGAGGGTGTGAAGTGAAGAACAGGTGCTGCTAACACCTGGATCTTTGGAAGGGATGAGGGTTCCTTCCACATCACCACCAGACTCGGTCCTCAGTTCAACCCTCCATGGTGCCATGGGCCTGCTTTCCAGATTGTGTGTGTGTGTGTGTGTGTGTGTGTGTGTGTGTGTGTGTGTGTTGTTCACTGCTGTATCCCCCTGCCTTTAAAACAGCACCTGGCATAGAGAAGGAGCTCCATGAATACTTATTGAAGGAATGGATAAGACAGTCTGGTTTCATTTCTTTTTACTATATATTTCCATTTTGCCCTGTAAGTGTTGCAGGGATGCTCAGTTTCATTGTGAGAGGATGATTTTTGACTTTTGTAGGAGAGTTAAACTTATGTAACATGGAGGATATTTCTAGCACAAATATAATTATTTTTTAAATTTCAACCTACCAACTGACAGACATCCTGAAAAATAACCTGTTGGGAAGCTTTGGACTCTCTGAACCTTTTGTTCTCATGTTTCAAGAGTGGATCTTTTACATACATAGATGAAGCGAAAAAACAAATGGGCAAAATGACCAGCTTTCACCTGTCTTGACTTCTTAAGTGCTCTTTTCATCTTTCCCAAAATAGAAGCTGAGATTGCTAAATACAGCGGAGGAAACAGATTCAGAAAGATGAACATGACTAAGCATTTGCCAAATGTCTCACTGTATATGTTTCCTGTTTGCCAATAAATCCTTGATAACAGAGACAGAGAAATATATTTATTCTCTGTGTAGACATAAGCCCAGAAAAAATGTTGGGTTTACCTCGTATTTTTTCAGAATTGTGCTCTTTCTCATGAACCTTCTCAAGAGAGGAGAGACGAGGCAGGCTGTTTTTATTTTATAGATTGTTCCTTCGACATGACTCTTAGGTGAGAATTTTCTGGGGGTAGAAGAGTGATCACCTGCTACTTTGCATTCCGAAACCTTAGGATTTTACAAAGATCTCACACATCTCTGTCATCTTAAAGAATTTCTCTCGCTACGGTGCAAAGGAGCAGTTAAAATGAGTTAAAAGCTCGCCTGAAATAAGACAGCCGAGCAGTGGGTGTGAAACGTCAGAGTGTGGTAGACCTTGCTTAATTCGCCAGGATGTGTCACAACATCCTACATCAGACTTGACATTTTGTTTCTGGCAGATTTTGGTGGGAGTGGTTGTGGGGGAAGAGGGGATGTTTAACATTCGGTTCATTGACTACAGGGAGGACAAGAAGCTAGGACGGATGAAAGGAGCATGGGGTAGCAATGACAGGCAGAGGGATCTTAGACTGTCCATGCCTGATGCTAGTTAGTCCATGCCTGGAATAAACTAGGTACCATCTCTGACATCTCAGAGCCTTAGTTTACCTTTCTGCAGAATGGGAACAATGATGCTCAGCTAGGAGGGCTGTCGTGAGGAACCGAGCTGCTTAGGGTCTACAGCCTGGCATCCAGCTCGTGGTTCTTCCTCGTCCAGGACACGTGGTCCCTATGGTCACCCGGTCTCTCTCTCTCTGCTTCGTTCCTAGGTACCTGGGGATCACCAGGCCGCTCACGTACCCCGTGCGGCAGAATGGGAAGTGCATGGCCAAGATGATCCTCTCCGTCTGGCTCCTCTCCGCCTCCATCACGTTGCCCCCGCTCTTCGGCTGGGCCCAGAACGTCAACGACGACAAGGTGTGCCTCATCAGCCAGGACTTCGGCTACACCATCTACTCCACCGCGGTGGCGTTCTACATCCCCATGTCGGTCATGCTCTTCATGTACTACCAGATCTACAAGGCCGCCCGCAAGAGCGCCGCCAAACACAAGTTCCCCGGCTTCCCGCGCCACCCGGAGCCCGACAGCATCATCTCCCTCAACGGCATGGTGAAGCTGCAGAAGGAGGTGGAGGAGTGCGCCAACCTCTCGAGACTCCTCAAGCACGAGAGGAAAAACATCTCCATCTTCAAGAGGGAGCAGAAGGCGGCCACCACCCTGGGCATCATCGTCGGGGCCTTCACCGTGTGCTGGCTGCCCTTCTTCCTCCTCTCCACCGCCAGGCCCTTCATCTGCGGCACCTCCTGCAGCTGCATCCCGCTGTGGGTGGAGAGGACATTCCTGTGGCTGGGCTACGCGAACTCCCTCATCAACCCTTTTATATATGCCTTCTTCAACCGGGACCTGCGGACCACCTACCGCAGCCTGCTCCAGTGCCAGTACCGTAACATCAACCGCAAGCTCTCAGCCGCGGGCATGCACGAGGCCCTGAAGCTCGCCGAGAGGCCCGACAGAGCCGAGTTTGTGCTGTAAGGTCATTTATCACTGCTTTCCTTTGTCTCCCCAGCCCTTTGATGGAGCTTCTTTATATATATAGATAGTTGGTAGCATGACAGATATCTCCCATTTTTTTCCCCTTTTCCCCCACCCCCATTTACCACACCCAGATCTTTGCTACCCTATTGCTAAACATGTGAGTATATAAGTTCTTTGGTTTTTCTCTTCTCCTTTCCTCAACCCCACATCGAGGTATGTCAATCTGTTCCTTGCCTCCATGCTCCGGGTCTTATTATGTCGGTCAATTCATTTTGTTCATTAGATTCCACAGATGAGTGAGATTATGTGATACTGGCCTTGCTCTGCTTGGGTTATTTCACTTAGCGTGATATTTTCCAGATCCATCCATGCTGGAGCTTCTGGAAGCACAGCTCAGAAGGCTTCCTGAATCAGTAGCTAACTTATTTTCTAAGCTAAGCATATCAGATTGGAATTCAGAATTCTATGAATTCCAGTGCTCTACCAACAGAATGCTGAAAGTCAAAGATAGGTACTTAGTTGGTTTGGAAGATGAGACCAATTTGCTGGTGAACTGAAATTGATATGCTTGATGACGAGGACGGTGCTGTTTCTCTTCCTGTCTCCATTAATACCATCCAAATTATGACCTTAGGTCTTCAGGAATTATAACATTATCATTTTCCTTGCTCTTACTCTTACATCCAGTACAACTTTTTTGATGACCTCATCCTTTACTGATGAATAAAGGAAGCAGAGTCACACAGGCTAAGAGCTTGTTTTTAGGAAGCGTGGTGTATCTTAAGAATTGTGAACTGATAGAGGGTGGTTGAGTTTGTCTAGGGCAGTGGTCGCCAACCTTTCAGACCGCACGGAACACCAGTGGTCTGTGGATCACCGATTGGCAACCATGCTCCAAAAGTTTCCTTAAACCAGTGCTCACCAATCTTTCAGACCTCATGGACCTCTGGTTGGTGACGGCTGGTCTAGGGGGCGTTAGTGACTTTGCAGGAAGCAATTGCATAGGGAGTTGGGATCTGAAGAGGATTGCAAAGGGCCAGTGGTGGACCTTTCCCATGAATTTGTCACTGTAAAGAAGCAAATGGACCTTTCCCATGAATTTGTCACTGTAAAGAAGGTAGGAGACAGTGTTGTAATGAAAGTTGTCAGCAGGCCCAATGAAGATTTTGCTTTAAATTAGACGTAGAGGAGACATATTCAGGTTGAAGAGTTGAGGGGGAAGACACTGGAATGAGGAGATGGAAGATGTTGGTGACAGAGAAAGGGGATTTGTTGATCCTGTGAGAGGAGGACGTGTTGTTCCTCACTAACTGGAAAGAAGGAATAGACCAGAGAACTGTGGGCCACTGGAACTAAGAGGGACCTTCTCAGTCATCTTGTTCATGATAGAACAGGTGACGGATGCCCCACAATGAGCTTGTAGCTCCACTAGGTGTAACCCACATCTCATCTGAATCTTACTTCTATCTACTTTTCATGTATTAGACTCTTTTATGTGCAATAAGGGTGGTTATCTCAGGGGAGCAGCCTGCTCGAGGTGCCCTCACAGGTTACAATAGAAACCAGAGACTCCAAACCTGAGATGCTCTCCCAGATGACTGAAAACTTCTATCTAGGAAGTCATCCTGTTATCTTCACTAGAATGCAGCAGACAGAAAAATCCCCTAATAGAGATGAGGGAAACCAGATATCATAATTTCTTGTCCTAGAAACTCAAAGGTATAAGCCTACAAATATGCTAATTCTTGAACCTGGGTATAGCTTCACAGGTATTTATTTTCACATCTATTATATATATTTCTTTGTACATGTGAAATTGTTCACAATAAAAAAAAATTAAACACTTTTTTTTTTTAAAGAAAGCAATTTTCTAGAATATGAGAAACATATATCCCCAGGAATCTCTCTAGGATTCTAAGATTCTTGCCAAATTGACCACAAATGTCTGCTCACCAGATTCCAAATTCCTTCAGGGGAGAAGTTATGCCATAGTCATATCTACAATAGTATAGTACCTGACACATAATGCATAATCAATAAAAGTAATAATGGCTAACAATTATTGAACATCTATCACATGTTATCCACCATTCTACCTGTAAAGTAGGTGCTTCTAGCACCCCCAATTTTTAGAAGAATAACTGAGGCTCAAAGACACAAAATAACTAACCAAAGGTCACATATGGTCTGAATCACCCCAGTGCATGTGCTGTTAGCTATTATGCAACACTATTTGACAAATGATTTCAGTCTGCAGTCAGTGAAGAGCTGCTGAGTATTTTTGAGCTGGGGATTGTAGCCATCACCTCTCTAAGAAGACCGTTGGGAAAACCTGTTAATAAAAGTAAGCCAAGTTGGAAGGATACTTTCTTAACAGAGTCTTTGTAGTTTCTCAGATGGAGAAAGTAAGGATATGATAGAGTCTTAGGGCTTGGGCTAGGGGAGGTTAAGGTGGAGAACTGGTGAGGACTGGACAGAGCTTATGACATAATAGCTTTGGATTGGTGGGTGCAGCTAAGCCAAGGCCTTGAAGCCAGTACTAATGAGAAAACTGTTAGTTTTGATCAGTAAGCTGTATAGATTAATAGGAAGCCTTATCTTTGGGAAGCAACTACTTTCTGGGATAAGTAGCTGGGTGTTTTGCTCCCTCCAGCGTTGTTTATCGCAAGTATAGGGAAGGCTGTTGATTTCCGTTCTCAGGAGTAAATGCTGAGACGTGTGTTTGAAGAAAGTCTATGGCAGCAGTCCGAAAGGTTGGTGGCAGAGGGTCCAGGTAAGCAGCTGGTGTAGAAACTAGGAAAAAAAATAAAGGCAGTCCTAAACTAGAAAACACCACTGTGTTTATATGCCTCCTACACAGCCAAAGAACTTGGGAATAGCGATGATTTTAGCTAATGATTCCCACATAACTCAGCCCACAAAATGCTAATTTTTCAAATGTCACACAATAGGTTTTCCAGTTTAAAATAACAGTAACCCACATTTATTGAAAACTTACTCTCAGGCATGATGCTAAGACTATGTGAATTATAAAACTTAATCCTTAAAACTTTATGAGGTTGGTTTTCTTCATCTCTGTTCTGCAGATGACAAAACCATGTCAATTTCTCTTATAAATGTTTCTATGTCTCTCTTCCTCTTCCTTCTGCTTCATCTAAAATAAATAAAAACATTTTTTAAAAAAGTATGTTAAAATTTCCATAACAGGCAGCTTTTTCATCTCTCCCAATGGGAGCATGCTCCTTTTTAAATTCATATTTATAATTGTGCCATGCACTGAGGAGGACATGAGAAATCCATGCTGTTGTTCCTGTCTTAGTACATATATTTCTCTTGGACAGACTGTACATAAACACACACACACACACACACACACACACACACACACATGTTTTTGTAATAAGAACAAAGGAATGATGGAGACAGGAAAAGCTACAGACTCAAAGAAGAAGATAATAACTCAGAGTTGACCCAACCCTTATCTGGGAAGACTTGCTGAAAGCTATGGCCTGGAGTATGTCTGTGAAGGTGGTCAAAGCATTGATAACTCAAGAAGAGTAGAAATGGCTTTCCAGGTAAAGGGGACATTTCATCTAGAGGCACCAGTATGAGACCTTATGCAAAGGATGGTCTGGCTGAAGTTAAGTATTAGTGTGGGGAAAGATGTGGAGATCACAATGGAAAGCTTAGAATAAAATTAAATCCTGAAGTGTCTTCCATTCCAGTCTCAAGAACTTTGGATTTTATTATAGACAAGTGATTCTCAACCAGGGATAATTTTGCCCCCACTGGACGTTTGAAAATTTCCGGAGATAAGGGGAGTACCTACTGACATCTGTCTAGTGGGAAGATGCCAAGGATGCTGCTCACCATCCTGTAATACAAAGGCAGCCCTCCTACAAAGACTTACTCAGCCCCAAATGTCTGCAGTGCTGAAGTTGAGAAGTCCTAGTGTGGACAGTAGTCATCCATTGACGGGATCTCGGCACGCAGGAGACTGGAATCATCAAAGCAGTGAAGACCAATTCGGTGACACCATATGGGATGAATCAGAGGGTAGAAGCTGGCAGGAAAGAGTCTTTTCAATGGCTTGTTTTCTCTAGAAATATCTGAGGGCCTACCATGTACAAGGCCCGGTGCCAGGCATGGCAGGGGATGGAAAGATGAATAAGTGGCAGTTCTTGCCTCTAGAATGCCATGGTTCAGTGAATGGGATGTGGTGTGGTGGTAGATTAAAAGACTGGTGACCAGAATACCCCACGCAATCCATGGTCTGCACCATTGCATTCAAGTAAATGCCAGGCAGATAACTAGTAACTAACTCTACTTGAGTCTCTGGAAGGACAAAGAGGTGTCCAATTCATAGCTCACAGCAAATCTTTGTTAGGACCCTTTGTTTTCCTACCAATCTCATTGGCGCTCACACTTCTCGGGCCAGCCTAGAGACTCAGAACTCTTTCTGCTGGTCTCTCCAGCCTTTTCTCCCTCTCTGGCTGATTGGTTCTAAGGTTCTTTTACTTTTCCCCCTAATTTTTCCTTCTTGGCTTTATTTTTCCTCCTACACAATAATTTTCTTTTCCTTTGTAAACAATCCACTAGCCTTTGTATCGTTACTTTCAAATGTATAGCCATTCTTCCACATTTTCTCAATCAGCATAAGAAGAGGCTCAGGAGTCCATGAGACACTCGGGAATCTTCCTTGGGGTAAGGAGGGAAGAGAGGGAAAAGGCATGAACACTTCCCCAGTCATTTTAACTTGCTCTTCTATCATCTTTGTGCCCTTTTCACAGGTATTCAAATCCTGGTACTATAGAATCAAATGTGATATAAGGAGAGAATTCCCCCCCCCCCCCCACTTTAATTTGTTGACTGGATTTTTTTGAATTCCTATAAATATCACCTCTTGATGGCTTTCGTTCTTTGACACTGTTATTGTGAGTGATACTGAAAAGCAGTTTCTAAAGTACTTCCATAGAAAAGAATTCAATGAGGTTGTTTTTGAAGTAGCTCTTCCTTTCTGTCTCCCTTCTTCTGCTTGGTGATATATTTATTGTCTTTCTCTCCAGAGACCCTTCTAGTCCCTGTCAATGGCAGTGGCTGATCATAGTGGAGTGACCCTGGGATTCTGCAGAGAGTTCACTGCACTGCGCCAAGGGTTGTACTCAAGCTATTGAGCTCAGGGTGACCCCGCCCATGATTAGAAATGGAAAGTGAAATGGGGCCCAGTGGAAACTGGGAAGAAGCACCAAGGCCCCAGACACCCTGGATATCTGTATTGGGACACTGCTTTAAGGACAAACCAAACCAAAAAGGTTGCTATTTCCTGACCCCCCCCCCCCCCCCCAATAGTGTTTTCCTCGCCATTAACTAGCTGGAATTCAGCACTTTATTTTTATGAAATCATCAGTTAGTAGTAATAATAGCTTCTTTGCCTCACGCTTTGCAGTTGCCTACATTTTAACTCTTTGAAGTAGGAAAGGCAGGCAATTGACCTCTCTTGCTTTTTCTATAATGACTTTTTAATAGATAGTAAATACCCATAGCACAAAGTAAAATCAGGCTGTGGGTATAGAAGAGAAATAAGCCTTGGGGGAGGTGGGAATGTCTTAGATGAAAATACCCATGGTGGGAATTATAAAGGTAGGTTTTGAATAGAGAGTAAGATTTTAACAAGAAGCGACGGCAGGGGTGGAGGTGGAGATAGAGGTGGGTTGGGGCTGTTGGAAGCAGAGGGGAGATCATGGGCTGAGGTGCACAGATGAGGGTGGGGCATGTCTTCAGTGGTACCTGGAAGCTGGGTAGATTGGGTCAGCATGGAGGGCCAGGTGGGCAGGTTGGGAGGGTGGATGAAGGTTTTTGGTAGGAGTGAGGGTAGGGCTGTGGTGTAAACAGTGCACAATGGGAGAAGGAGGTCTTTGTCAGGACAAAGGGTGAAGAGAAGGTGGTCTTGAGACTAGGAAAGAGGCCAAGGTTGTGTGGTCAGTTGGACGTTGACTAGCTGGTGGGTGGGAGAGGAGATTCCGAGGTGGTCCTGTGGCTAGAGGCCCCGAGGGACAGTTCCTGAGGGGCTGAGAGCTGCAGAGGAAGTGCAGTCTCCCTTCCTGCTGAGAAGAGGCAGCGCCCCAAACCTGTGGAGGACCAGCAGGGACACAGCCTGTGCCCAGTGCCTGCTCCAAGGTACTCAGGAGCCCAGAGCCAGGGTCTGAGCAGAAGTGTGGCCTCACTCTTGTCCTCAGGCGCCATTGTGTGAAGTGAGGGGCAAAGCGAGGAATGGTGTCTGGTGGGGAAATGGATCCTGTCCCTGGGAAAACCCATTTGGAGTCCTGGGAGCCAAGGGAGGGGGCACTTTCAATGGGATGGGGAGGCAGAGGCTGGGAGCACACTGCGGCTCTGGAACCTCATAGACCCGGCTCTCAAGTACAAGGACAGATAGCTTGGTAAAGCGAGTCCTGTGAAGGTGCAGACTGAGGTGGGTGTGGATCTCGAGGGAAAGTGGCACTACACCAAGGAGGAGACTTGGCCTTGGCCATGGACTTTTCCTTGGCCATGACTCAATCCACGTCTGTGAATCTGGGGGGAAGGCAATGAGGGAGGCGAGGTGGGGTTCCCTGGTCTCTGCAGGTATGGCTTACTATACCGCACCCTCCTGTCGTGAGTACTTCTTAGTAGTCATCATTATTCCTTTCAAGTTGGGCAAGTGCAGTCATATTTTGCAAGGACTTTTTCGAGTAGAGCCATTTTTGGCTACGGCTGTACTATAAAGTGGATTTCTAAATGGGTTATCTGGGGCTGTTTTGCAACTATATTAAGCCCCTTCAACTTATAACAGTAATGAAATTTATTAAAAGAGCCACAGCGCATCTTCCCTTTCGAGATGCTCAGCACCCCTTAGAAGCCACAAATGCTTCCAATTACTGAGTGCTGTGAAAATTAAATCCACCCACCGCAAGAGGAAAACATTTATGGTTCTGCTAAATCATTTTCTTGTCTTCTCTCTCTCTCTCTCTCTCTCTCTCTCTCATCTTTCCTTATAGACAAAAGTCTGACTACTGTAGAAAAAAAAGCCATGACGCATGATCAAAAGCAAAATCTTGGAGACGAACAAAACAAGGCCAGACTGAGGTGGAAACAGAACGACATCCTGTGCTGAGACTCTGACATGCTGCTTCCGGTTTTTCTCGGGATGGTTCACACGTGACCAGCAGGCCATCTGTTGTACGTGTGTATTATGAGGGAGCTAGGTGACCTCTCCGTGTCTTTTCCCTGCAGATCAGTGCTGCTGTGTGCACATGAAAATAGTTCTCCGTTTAAGACGGCCAGACCAGCTCAGCCATAAGCTCCCGAGCTAAGCTGAGCTCCAGAAAGGAAACACGTTTCTGGTGCTTTACTAGATGTCCAAGTCCATGCAAGTCCGAGACTAGGCACTGCGGAGGATATTCAGGAATCCGTTCACGAGAGAGAGAGTTAATTTTGTTGTAGGACAGATGGGTGTTTTTCCAAGCTAACTGCAGTAAGCATAGTGTTGACTATGTTGCATGTCCCATGTTAGACAACAGAATCCCGTCATCAGTTCATACAAATGATTTCCCAGAGCAGCAGTGTCTGTTTTAAGCTTCTGTCAAACCGTTTGGCTTTTCTGCAGGGTCCCCGTGACTTGCCCACAATGCACTTTCTTTGTTAACTGGCTTACTGTTATGGTATAACTCAGGAACTGATCTCAGGATGGAGGGCGTCGGCAAACCCGAATAAAGCTTCTTCTTGTGCTCACCCTTCCTCCGAGGGGTCCTGAGGGGCGAGGGGACTCCTTCCGTGAGGACTTGTTACCTATCCGCACTGGATGTTAACGTGGGTGTTGGCACTGAACCTGGACTTTGGACTCTCATTAACACGCTGGTGCCATGGGCCCAAGGCGGGCCCATAGCTGTGCTTTTGGGGAGGAAGTGAGGGAATAATGGGGTTTCCATGAAAAGTTGTGATGCATCTGGAAATGGACTGTCCACATGTTCATTCTCGTCGAGTGGCCTTGTGTTAAAACTGAACTGTGTGAATCAGGGGTCACCCGGGACACTCCCTATGGGCACACGCTCCTGTTTGTTTTGTGTTCTCTGTATCTTAAACCGAATGTGTGTCTGGCCAGTTCTGTTTCCCTCCCTACCGTGCTAAGCATGATGGGCAGACAGCGGAACAGAAAAGGTCCATTTGTTTTTATAATGGGACTGTCATATTGGGAGCGGAGGAGATAGGAAGACGGTAGGTCAGAAGCGTCCCTCGAAGGAGAAGAAATAAATATAGACCTTTGTTTGGTAAGAGAGAACTGCAAGAGAATATTATTTTCCTAACATAAATGTAGCCGTTTCCTTCCAGAATAATGTGGAATTCCAGCGTGGATTATGGATTTCTTCCAACTGTCATTGATATTGCTTCTTGCCAGGCACAGGGAGGGCCTGCCTTCCCTTGCAGACCCAGCTGTACAAATTCCCGAACTGCACATTCGCTCACGTGACTGTATATACTTATATTCGTAATTTAAACAATTAATTCCGGTCAGGTAAATGTTACCTTTGAAGATGTTTTATTACGTTACATCCAATAAAGTTTATTTGTAGCTGTAATAAAGCCATGTAAGTAATGATTTTTAATGGAAGGTCTGATGTCATAAATGTCGCTCTGTATCAAACAGCAGAAGGGCAAGCTTCTGATACTTGCTAAATCCTCTCAGGTAATGAAGGCAGTTCTGTAGTTAATTGCATTTCACTGTGAGGATTCATCCATGTGGTAAGTTGTGGGTTTTTTTTTTTTGTGTGTGTGTGTGAGATTGTTCATTTGTAGATTTGATTAATGAGCGTTTATTGGGCTTTTGCTGCCCTCTGCACTGTGGGCAGGGAGGGCACAGAGATGCGTGAAGGAGAGAAGAGGCAGGCATTTCTCAGGTTGTCACATGTCATATATTATAGTAAACTCCGTAGTAGGCTGCAGAGACTGACGTGTTTTTCCTGTCCATGAGACAGCATTACAGTTAGTTGGATTGATTTAGGTTTTCAAGTGCTTTTGCTTGATGTGTTTAATTAGTTATGAAACAGGGCTCTTTATCCCGCCTGACTTGAACACCTGATGATGGAACTCTCTGCCTCATTCTGGTGACGGGGGCTGGCACTGTCCGCTCTGCTTTCTGTGGGTGGCCACCACAGGAAAGCTAGAAAGAGAGAATGAGAAAAATATCGAACGGTTTATACTATTTCACCCAAGGCTTAGGTTTTGCTAAAGGTCCTGCTTTTGTTTTCACTAAACATTGGGGAGTGGTAGGAATCATTGAAATAAACATTGTTACATATACGTTACGACTGTTCGGCAAAAATGACTGTTATGACAAATGTCGGTCTCACTCTAGGGTATCAGCTGCCATCTTCTGGAAGGGAGTATTGGGAAACCATGCTTGGGACTGTGAGAGATAACTTCCTGGCGGCGGCCTTACTATCTGTTTTGTTTTGTAAACATTGAACAGGAAGAGCTCACAGAGTTCCTAGGCTTCCTGAAACTCTTGTAATCCTTAAAGCATTTACCACGGTGTCATGTGCTTGAGATGCCTGTATATGTTTTTGATATTTTCATGCAATTTTATTAAGCTTCATTGTTTGCAGGCACGAGATCAACCATCAGAATAGGCAATGCAGGCAGCTTTTCAAATTGTTTATGCTAGCATAATAATTGTCTGAATTGCCATCTGTAGATGGTGGGGATTTTGATTGTCAAGTGAGTTCACAATTTAATGAATATAAATGTTTACAAGTCCTGCATTTTAAACAGTCCACGCCCCTTCCCATCTCAGGACCTTCACACATGCTTTCCCTTCCTATTCTCAGTTATGTATGTAATGCTTGTCTTCATCACCGGTTAGTAATTCTTCAGGGGCAGGGACCATGCCTGTCTCCTCACCAATATGCCCAGCACCTAAAACCATGCTTGGAACATGTATAGAAGGCATATAATAACTACTTTTTAACAGAAAGGGAGGAAGAAAAAAAGGAAGGGGAGGAAGGAAGGACAGGGAAGGAGGGAAGTCAGAGTTGACTTGGCACCCTTTTTTAAAAAATATATTTTATTGATTTTTTTTTTTTTTTTTTTTTTTTTTTTTTTTTTTACAGAGAGGAAGGGAGAGAGATAGAGAGCTAGAAACGTCGATGAGAAAGAAACATCGACCAGCTGCCTCTTGCACACCCTCTACCGGGGATGTGCCCGCAACCAATGTACATGCCCCTGACTGGAATCAAATCTGGGACCCTTCAGTCCACAGACGGACGCTCTACCGCTGAGCCAAACCGGCTTCGGCATGACTTGGCACCTTTTTAAAATTTCAGGTGAGGAACTTGAGCCTGGAGTGATCCGGAGACCTGTGCAGTGAGCGGGGGAGAGGAGCTGGGCTTACGCTCTCCTGTGTGCACACGGGGCAGGCCTTCCCCTCCACGGTGCTGCTGCTTTTGCACAAGTTTCTCATATCAAGAGAGCAGCCCCTTCGTAATTTCCTGCACTAGTGGAGCAGAGCCATGTATGCGTTATGGCCCATATGTTGAAACTTGTTTATCTAGAACTAGCCAGATGGTCCCTAGCAGCACACACACAGAAGCCATTTGGAAACGTTCAGAGGGTCAGCGCGTTTTGAAAGCCCCGAGAGTGATGCAGATTGTGATGTCATCCCTTACTTATGGCAAACGCTGTAATCCAGAAAGGGAGACCTTGCTAGGGAACATGTGTGAAGCATGCAGACCTTGGGCGCCAACTCAGGGGATCTAGTTCCCCAAGACAGAGGCTCCTTTAATTGGATCTTTCTTGAAACTTGCTTGTCTGCACTTTCTCTGGAGAAGGAAAAGTAATTTCTTAACTTAAGTCCTTTGTGTCTCAAGCTCCTGCTGGCTAAATGAAAATAAAAAAAAGCCCTGCTTAGGCAGAGCAAGCAGCAGAGCTACGATGTGATCATCAGTAAAAATGTAAAAGTGATATTTACTGCCTCAGGGAGGCAGATGAGAGAGGCTGAAAATGATCAGAAACAGACTTGCAGGTAAAAGTTATGTTGGATATTTGGCATTTTTAGAAGAAGCCGATTTGCAGGAATTAAGACATCTTGTGGCAAGTATCACATGATCTCACTCATATGTAGAATATAATGAACAAAATAAACTGTTGAAGAAAATTGTTCCAGAGATACAGAAACATGGAACAGATGTTAAATCTTAGAGGGAAGGCAGGGGTGGGTGAGTGAGATCAACCAAAGAACTTCTGTGCATATGTGCATAACCCATGGACACAGACAACATGGTGGCGAAGGCCTGGGGTGGGAAGTGGGGGCAGGCTAGAAGGGGTCAATGAGTGGAAAAAGGGGACCTATGTAATATTTTCAACAATAAAGGTTAACAAAAGAGATATTTTGTAACTAGGGCTCCCGGGACAGAGACACATGAAATCTTAGATTCTGTTCAAACTATAGAATTTATGCTCAGAGATCATGGAGCAAGAAATATTTAAAATACTGTAAAGAAATGAAAGCTTTGAGATTGGAGTGATCAGGTGACATGATTCTTCCTCTAAGAATTCCTTTGATTCTCCATTCACTCATGCGTTCAAACAGATATCTATTAATATACCAGAGACTGTAAAACACTAGAATCCAGCGTTAAGACAGGAATGATTTCCATTCTCATGAAGCTAAAAGTTTAGCAAGGAATCTGAATATTGCACTAATTATTATAATGAAATACCATGTGCATTATGCTAAGGCAGGCACAAGGAGATTCATAAAGAAATGCATACTTCAGTATACTGATATGAACATAAATATTCAAATAGCAGTGGAGGAAAGAGTGATAATCCAAAATAGCCCATGGCAAGAAATATCAAGAGTATAATCTTTGATGTGTGTTATATAATATTTTGGTGCCAAATTACTTTCCTTAATTACATCTTGATTAGGCTATTATTAAAATGCTCTTTATTCTTCAAGCTCACACAGTCTCACAGTGGGAGAGATGATACAGAGCAACAGTGAGAGGCAGCAGAAAGTCAGCTATAAATATAAAATCTTGTCC